GCTTGTTCCCCATGCTACGGGCATTAGTGTAGAGGCATTTCAGGCCTCCTGGAGATGTGGATACTGACCCCCTAGTCCCAGCGATCCCCTTATCCCCATCTCTTACTTGTTTGTCCGCTGAGCTTGCCGGTCCGGTATTATTTCAAACAATAACTTCTCTGTTGTGCTTCAGGAGGTCTCTCAGACCCCCTCAGCTTTCTGCAGTCCTCTGTTCTCCTTCACACCTCTCCAAGTGGAAGGGAAGGAGACTGGCCAACTCCCTGACAGCTGGGGAGGCAACCAGAGCTATAGGTCCATTTGTGGTGATGGTGGCTGTTACAGAACCAGCCCCACTCTGAGGAGCAGCTGATTTTTAGCTGATCTGCAGCTATTCCATGAAACAACTGTCATGTCCAGCTCTGCAGCCACCACTGATCAGTTGTTACAAAGCAGGCAATGAGCTGTGAAGCACTGCCCCTGCCACTAGAGGGGAGGCAAGGAGAGCATTCCTCTTCTTCCCCGCTTCTCACACCAGTAGCTGGGGGCTTCCTTTCTGCTACAGCTGCCTCCAGCTGATGCCAGTGGTGGCATCAGTCACTTCTGTGTGGGGTGGGGGTGGAGGAGAAAATGAGCAGTCACATTATCACATTGTGGCTTGAGAGTGCATCTTTTGAGGCAACTTCGTCATGGGCCAGCCAGGGGGCTTTGCACATGCGCATGCCTCCATAGCACTCTATTTTTGGACTGCTACAAAGTGTAGTGCCACCTTTCCTCCTCCACACACACACTTTTTTTTTCTTTAATGCATCTAGGGTGCGGATACATGTTGCCCTATGGCAACATAGCAATCGCATGTCTACACAGGATTGCCAGCTATGTCACTAGCGATGCACTTCCTGTGTATAGCGCACCACTACGGTGACATAGCAGTGAAATCTACCCATGCACCATGTGCACAGCACAGTAACCATCTGTACTGTGCCATACTTCAGTACTTCCAAAAGGAAGTACTAAAGCACAGCAATGTGTAGAAGTGACTCTAAAGAACTAAATGATGGGGAGTGGATTTTAAAGTTCCAACAGCAGAACTAACTCGATTCCTCATCCTTTTGTATAGCTGCGTTTACTACTGATTATTGTCATATGCCAAAGGACTTTCAGTATAAATGTTAAAGGGGTATAGAAATACACAGTGAATGTGAGACCCAATTCATGTCGTAGCTCTAAACCAAGTAGCAACGTGAAGAATTATATCAATCTCATGGCTTGAAAAGCCGGTTACAAATATGGTGAGCAAATGTCCATGTGCCTGGAATGTGGCTGCATCCTTTAATTTTTTGATTGAACTTTATATTTCTGTGTTTTAGGTCTAACACACTCAGCAGTCAGAGTGTGAAAAACTTTGGAAGGTCACTTCTCGGTGGTTACTGTCCCACCTACATGCCTGATCTAGTACTGCATGGAATAAGTAGTGATGAAAAGCTGAGGCAGTGTCTACCAGCAGATTTGCTTCATGCAGTACATGTAAGTTGATACATTTGCTCCAAGCCATTGACTTCTTAATAGCAAGGATTATGTTATCTAATTGGGAACATGTAAGATGTCTCCAAAGGGGTGATAAACCATTATTTGGTTGAACACATTACACTTCCCATGGCTTGGAAAAGTGACCCTTTCAGAAGATATGGGAGGAGCTTGCCTGCAGATAAGATGCTCTCACCTGTAGTCTTGGTCTTACCTCCCAAGTAATTGGGGAAGTTATCTGTAACTTTTTACGTAGAGTTGAACAAGTCTGGCATTCTTTATGATACCAAAAACATAATATTGAGCTGTCTTCACTTTACAGTTACACTGGCAGGCTGACTGCTTTGCATCTTACAAAACAAGGCTGGTCTGCAGGTGGCTGTAAGCTTGCTACTGCAGTAGCCACCTACTATGGTACATGTTGCCATGGTGATAGAATATCTTGTAAGGACTGAGCTTTTGCCAGACATTAGCACAGATGACTGCAGAGAGCAGTTGGCTGCTAAATACGAGCTTTGTCATGTGCTGAATTAAACCATGCAAAAGTCTCCAGTTTTTACCCTAATGTAGTTCAAAGTGTAATTTATTGTAGCCAGTTTGCCACTAAATTAACTTTTTATAGTTGCACTATAAAGACTGACTAAAGATTATTATGACCTACTGCCTACTGATGGATATCCACTCCTTTTAGCAGTAACAATTGTGCTACTGCAATGGGTTTGTGTTTAATGAAACTGCTATCTGCTCTTCTGACAGCAGAAGTTTGTCCATGGAACAAACTGGCCCGAGTTGTAACCCTGGGTCTATTTCTTTGTTTCTTCCCTATGATGCAAAAGCTTGTTGAATCTGTGCTAACGGCAAAGCCCAGGATTGCATTGAATCCCTCTTTTAAAAAGATGCATAGATTATAGCAGTCATCTAACCAGCATATTCTTCATTTTGTCCCCCAAATTGCTACTCAGGCTGAAATTCATAAACTTCAGCCCAGGTTAATGTGTGGGGTTTTTGTGGCTGTTGGAACAAAAAAAATATTTAAACTTGGTCTAAAGGCTTTTTTAAACTCTCACTTCTGAAGACTAATTGTTCTTATTTTGTTCTGTTTACAGCATCCAGTACTTGATGAGCCCATAGCAGAAGCTGTCTGCATCATTGCAGATACAGATAAGTGGAACGTACAAGTGGCAACAAGCCAGAGAAAGATGATGGACAGTATGAAGCTAGGCCAGGATGTTTTGGTTTCCAATCAAGTGTCCAGTTTACTACAATCCATTTTACAGCTTTACAGACTCAACCTCCCAGCTGACTTTGTAAGTGTGTTTTCCTGACAACCGGAGTTAATGTTTCAAAGTCAGATTTTTCAAATAGTTTATTTTCAGGTACTTTAACTATTAACTTTGTGAATTTGACAACAGTAAATCTAACACCAGTCCAAAATCTCACTCCTTTCCTGTTCCTCTTTTAGAATTGCTACCTCTTGTATTAAAACTGATTTGTGACTTTTTCACTCCATTGATGTAGCAGTCATGAAGGAGGTGCAGTTTTAAGGTGGTGCTACTTTGCTTCTTATGCCTCTAGTCACGCACCTGAGTATTTTATTTAGTCTTTACAAATGAGGGGCGTTTGTCCCGTGTACCTTGCCTCGTTTCACACAAAGGCATATGGCAGGCAGGAAGTAAATGTTGCCCTACTTGACACCATATTATGATACTGGCCTGTAATTTGTTTAGTGAAAATATTTGAAATTTGTATAAATTAAGATATTGTCAGCTTGCCTTATCATCTTACTACACAGTACCAGTTTTCTTTTACTATTCAGATAATTAAAATCTTGGCTCACTGTCCTTGATAAAGATGAGAGAACAATTATGAACTCAAAATTTGATTGTTTAAAATCTTTTTCTTGTTTAAAAAAAAATATATATATAAAACATTGCTTACCAAGCATGAGTCTCTTCCCATTAGTTTTTAAATTAGTAGAATTTGTTGCATATCCACATACAGTATTAAAAGAAATTCAGACACCCAAGAACAGTTTTCTTTCAATGTGCTTCTAAAGTTTATTGTGGCCTGAAGTTGCTTGCTGCTGTTGCCTGTCAGCTGATTACATGTTCCATAATATGATGTTCTGCATAAACTTGTTTTCATCTTCAGGAGCATGTATGTCGAGCTGAATTACTTTGATTTTGCTGCTGGCAATTGCTGCAGAGAGAACATACCACAATTTAATACACGTAGTATCCCAAACTAAAACATTGGTTAAAGCTTGTTCACCTTGTGGCACGGAAGCCATTATGTATCTGATGAGTGTATAAAAAGTATATAAGCCACTATATCACTAGCACACTAAAATAAAAGAAGAGGCAAATTAGTGCTTTTAAAAAACCTAACTGAAATACAAATCCAGCTTTTGACATTATACTTGATTTTTATTAAATATTCTTAAACTGGGACTATAAGACACCTTATAATAGAAGGGTGGGCAAAATACAGCCCATGAGTCCACGGCTGCAAAGTCATAGGATCCAACCCATGGGAAGCTGGTGGGCTCTGGCTGCTACATCTTGCTGGGTGGGCAGGCACATCCTGGCCCCATCTGCAGCTTCGACCAGTTCCTGCCCAGTGTGCCAGAAGCAGCACATGCCAGCATGAGCTGTGCACACTGCCTGCAGGTTCCTGCTGGGGCTCAAGGTATCTGCCAGAGCACATCCTCAGGGTAGAATGGTGGCTTGAAGGTGGTGCTGGTGGTAGCAGGGGCCCTGGCTGAGCTGCCTCTGTTGAAGCTGCCAGCAGTGCCAACACCAGCTTCCCTTCCCCCCCCCTCCCCACCCGCCCCCAACCTACCTGCAGCCCCATCTCGCATATGGAGGTCTGGTGAGCTGTTGCAGGAGGGAGGGGGGGTGCTGACCTGACCCATAGCACCTCTCCAAAACTCCCTATGTGGTGCATGGGCCCAAATAATTGCTTACCTGTTTATATATGTTCAAAAACTGGTCTACATGGTAAACAGTGAGAAAAAGCACTCCTGTCAAAGCACATTAAGACAGCAGCTTTCTCAGTTATCTGACAAACCTTAATTTTCTCAAGAAGGACAGATCTCCAGAGTTTCCATTTTAATGGAAAGTTTCCATTTTATATTCAACTACTTACATTTATCTTTAAGAACAGAGGTTGGCAACATATGGCGTGTGAGCTGGATGGGGCCTGCAGAGTTGGGGAAGTTACAGCAGTGCAGGGACTCTGTTCATACCCACAATGAGGCCATGCCACCTGAGGCTCAGCTGGGTTGTTCAAGCCCACACTACTGAAAGGTTGTTGGATGATATTTTAGAAAAACAATAGTGTCTGAGAAATTAAGAATCACTAATTCAAGTATGCAGGTTTCAGGCTTAGTAAAATGCCTTTTATCATTTTGGATATAATCCAGCTCCTTTCTAAATGAGTGAAAAGACTGTTATCAGTTTCAGTGGGAATTTAATTTGTTTCTTTGACTGCTGTATAACAAAGTTGCTAGCCAGGAAAAACAGCCTGTTCCAATCCTTTGAAGAAAAACTTTTTTTTTTTTTTTTGTTTAAAATTGTGGTTGGCAGCTTGAGAATGCCACTTGCTTATTTTTCCTGTGTTGTTATACTGCAGTCACTGTATTCCTACTAGTACAGGAGTTAAAATAAACGCTTATGTTTTCGTAATGCTTTCACATGAATACTGAATCCCTAAAGTTTTTTGGTGCATTTCTTTATAGTGCATAATGCATCTGGAGGATAGACTACAGGAGATGTATCTCAAAAGCAAAATGCTTTCAGAATATCTGCGAGGACATACAAGAGTTCATGTGAAAGAGCTAGGAATTATATTGGGGTGAGTAAGAGATAAATCCTGCAGTAAATTTCTGGCAAGCCTTAGTGACCAAGGTCCCTATACAACATGAACGCTGCCTGCTGTTTAATGAGCAGGCTTGTTTTTGCTGCTCATTAGACTTATACGAGAGAGGGCGACACTAGTAAAGTGTGAAAGTATGTACCACTGAGCCATCTGGAACTCGCTGAACTGTCTGCAGTTCAGCAGTAAGGATAAATCTCTAGTCCTTCTCATTTACTTGGAGTAGAAATGACATCTTTCACAAACAGCTGAGATTTGAATATTGTTTTCATTTTGGCTGATATTTTCCCCCCTTGTGTATCAAAGTTAAGGGATTAGGAGAAGCAGTTCCACCAAATGTTTGAGGTTTCTTTGACAAGAGGTTTTAAAAGGCAGGTGTGGGGAAATGAAAAGAGGTATGCTGTGTTCAGCAGCTACTACCTAAGAAGAATGCTTGCTTGACATGTGTGTATATATGTATATGTCATCCTGTATATAATATCAGAATGTCATACAAACAAAACACCACTGATGACACCTGGCTCTCATTGCTTCTGACTTAGCAGCCAATGTTGAAGCACTTAACATAAGAAATCAGTTTTATCCCTATTTTATGGACAAGGAAAACTCTGGACCAGATTAGTGGCAGAACTGGGAAGGAACCCAGATCTCTGATTTGCAATACTGTGGCTACTGGTCCTTCCCTTTCCCCCCCTTCTTTCCTTGCCTTGCTCCTTTCCTTTCTCTGTCCGTGTAATAGGTAGTATACTCTGTGTCTTAATAAATTAGTGCAACATTGCATACCCCGAGTGGAACATCATAATGAATGGGATTATGCTTTCTGAACTGTGGTGCAACTGAAAAAGAAAGAACATATTCTGATTTCTGTTTCAAGCTGCTTCTTTTATAATACTGTAATGGCAGCATGTTTCAAGCCTGTGCATTCAGAAGGGTGTGTGGACAGACCCTCAGTGTGGATCCTTGCAGAATGAAAAAGTGTTATTATCCTAAAATACTAAAAATTCAATGTGAACCTCTTGCTTTGCACTTCTTAAAACTATTGTTTCATGCTTCCTGAGTTTCTGTGTGTATAATAAGACTTGCATAAAACTTAGTTGTTTTTAAGTTGCTGTTAGTTTCATATTTATGTAGGGGAACCTGACCAATAGCACAGGTGACTGAATGTGGAATCTTGCAAACTAGTGAATGATATATTTTAAAAAAGCAAAGGTGAGGTACCACAGAGGGTCATACTGTTGTCACTTGAATATTTTGTGATATTAACCTAGCATATCTAGACACATTTATTATCATTCACTTTATTTAATAGAAACTGATGAACTGTCCCTTCAACTTCTTAAAATTCAGCAGTTTATAAGCTAAGGATGTGTATGTGTATTCCTTTTTCTGTACAAAGTAGATTGTATATTGAAAAGCTTCTCTTTTGTTTTTTAAATTCTAGGATTGAATCCAATGACCTGCCTTTGTTGGCTGCTATAGCAAGCACTCACTCTCCTTATGTTGCTCAAATACTCTTATAAGTTAAAATCTCAGGGTAGTCATTCCCTAAGCAAAATACAGAAATGTTGAAAGAAGGACAGAGATGCCAGCGCTGGTAAAGAGGAACAGTGACAAAAGCTGGTAACGACTGCATTCCACCACCATCTGATGCTGGACATTTTTATCACAGAACTTCAGTTTACATGATGTAAAAGGCATTCAGGTTTGTTTTAAAATCACCTCTGACTTAACAAGTCAGGAAGGTGAATGTATCCTTTCATTTAAAAAAAAAAAAAAAAAGACTAAAGCAAACACTTCTGCAAACTGAACCGTCAGCAGAAATGCTGCTCCAAGACGTGAAGTAGCATTAAAAAGAACAAGTGGGATAGGATGGCTCTTGTGATGCTGCACTTGTGATAGTGTGGTGTTTCTGTGTGCTGCTTTGACTGGCGGTGGGAGGGAAGAAAGCAGTTGTAAACTATGTATATAGCATTCCTATACACAAGCGTGCTGGATGGGACATGAAGTTTTGCAGAATGTGAGCATGATTTTATATTGTAGAAGTGGCCGGTGCAAAACAAGAATGTGGACTCAGCATCTGAGTTGTGTGTGGGGTGTCTGTCTGTGGGTGAAGTTTTTTCTTGTCATCTTTTTAAAAAGACAAGAGGCTAAGAAAGCTGCAACTGCTTCTAGTTTTACTGATGAGGATTTCAAATAAGCTCATATAATAAATACTAATGTCTCAGTTTGGGATGAAAGCCTTTGGCGAGGGTGTTTTGGGAAGCCTTATGGAATTTCTTCTACAAGTTTACATTTGTTGCAAATGCAATACCCATCTTTTTTTGGGTTTCTGTATGACCATAAATCTGGGAATCAATCCCAGATAATAACTTCATCAAATGTTACTGTTGCTGAGATGTTTGCATTTGACATGATAATGTACAACATGATACCAGATATATTTTTGGTGCGTCGATGAGCATGTATATCCACGTGAGGCAGGCTTATTCCAAAAAAAAAAAAAATCTTTTTAGTCCATTAAACTGTTTTGGCCTTCCAGCTATTAGATGGAGATTGCCCTTTATTCTCACTTAGAAGGGGCAGTTTAAGTTTAAATGAATTGTACAAGGATAAACCCCAGACATGGTGATTTGTCACCCGTGTGAGCATTCTACAGAACTTTTTTGCACTATCATCCTGGTGCCTTTTGATCTCTTCTGGACTGACCACCTTGAGACAAGAAACTTGCCCTTAAGGTCGAGTAGTTCATAAAATCCATTTTTTTATTGTTTCATAAGAAGAAAACTGGACACGGACATAGATACCTTTTTATATACAGTCTATAAACCAGTGGTTTTCAGCCTTTTTAGACTGAAGGCATACCTCCATAAATCTCTTGTGAATTGAGCAGCCCCCCATTTCAAAAACTAATTTATATAGTGAATTACTCTTCTTCTTCCTCTTCTTTTGCATCAAGCACTGTGAAGCAGTGCATGACATTATTTGGAGACCAAGGAAATGATGGAGGGGAATAACACTTTTTAAGAAGAAAAGCAAACACCCAAGTAGCGTTAGAGTGCAAGTGCTCTAGGACGCTATGGGCATTGCACAGGAAGTGTTTAGATCTGTGACCGCCACTCCCTTATTTTTGATTCATTAACTCTCATTGATTCCAGAATTTCCAGTGTTAGGAAAGAAATACAGGAGACAAGTTTGGCTTTGTGCTGCCTTGGTGTTTACATGTTTATGATTGAGTATCTTCAATCATTAAAAGGAGGCAAATGTTGCTATTATGGGGGTTTTTCATTTTGCTTTCAGATGTGACTGAAATGCCATCAAACCTGTTACAGAGTTCCCTTCCTCAAGGGAAGGAACCACCACCATGAGAAGCTTCTCTACAAAAGCTTCTCTACAAAAGGCTTGTTTCCAAGCTGGAAGACTTCCTCTTCATTTGCAGATATGATTCTTAAAAAGTTAACATGGTTTCTTAAGTTTGGGTTCTCTAACCTAACATTCCAGGTGCCTCCTTTCTTAGTGTTGTGTTTTAATATGTCTAGCCAGTGTCTTGTTTTTTAAAGAGGCTACAATATTCCTGAGGTGGAGTTATCTCCTACTGCTGGTACATGAGGAAATCTGCTTCCTCTGCTTGGTTCCTGAGCTGCTCACCCTTAACTTTGTCCTTTGCTTAAAACCAAACATGGACGCTGCAACCAGTTGCTTGCAGGCACCAGGCCAACTTTCGTTGACAGTAAGTAGATCCACATAGTGAATGCAGCTATTCACAAATTTCCCCCTATGCTGAAGATGTATATGGGAAACGCCTTCCTTTATGAGCTGGGATCCTGGTTTTCTCTGATTTAAAAAAAAAAACAGCCCAAAACCAAAAATCCCAATTTTTGGATTAAAAAAGTAACTCCAAATCTACATTTTTCCCTGATGAAAATGAAATGCCACTATATATATTAGTAGCACTCCATTTTAATCAGGGAAAAATGTGGATTTTGTTTTATTTTTTTAATCTGGAAATTGGGGATTTTATTTTTTTCAGTGAGAACCAGGATCCCTGCTTATGAGTATAAAAATGTTTCATATTTTTATGCACTCTCCTCACTTCATGTTGTTCCTGCTATTTTATAGTAATTAAGTAAAAGGCTAATTCCAATTTAATTTGAAACAAAAAGGAGCTTGTGATTTGGTCTGACTTGGATCCAGTTCTACAAAGGGATGAAGGCAGCCAACCTCTGCTGTTGCACAGAAACCCATTAAAGGCAAAGGTTGGCTTATGCCCATCATTTTTGTAAGATTGGCACCTTGCTCAGTAGTAACCTGTCCTCTCCTACCTAATCCTAAAGTTCTGCCTTTTGATAAGTTTCTAATTTAATTTAAGGAACGTAAGTTGAGTTTAAAGCATTCAGCTTTGTTCAGCCCAAGATAAAACTTCTTCATGATACTTGCTCAATTTTTCCTGTACCATTTTGCTGCTCTTCACAGATTACACAAGTAGACTGTCTTGTTTATAGTTTTTCTCTTTTTTAGTTTCTAAATTTAATTTCCAAGGCAAATACTTTAATTTGTACCATTCTTTTAAAAAGTTGGCTTTAGACTAAAGGAATTTAAAATGTCTCCCTCCTACCAAATATACTACCTCAGTTGACAGGATACCACCTTTTAGGGCTTCTTCAACTTTGTAAGTCTTAACTGTTAAATATTTTGTAGCATTTTGCTGTTCAGAAAAGTTAGTGTAGCATGACAGAGTGGTAAGTATGTACAAATGTTGTGTCAGACATCTTTATAGCATGTTTCTGTTGTATTTTTAATAGAATGAAAAGTGAAATGAATGTACAGGGGAAATGTTTAAAACTGACAATGAAATAAAAATGTAGCTGAAATCTTCAAGTTTGCAAAGTTGTTGTTTATTAGTAGTATGAATCTTTTGTAAACTCAATACATATATTTCTTGTTTTTAAGTAGGTGGAACTTGGATTTAAACCTGAATGAATAGATACATTTGGCCAAACAAAGATTAGACAGTTGCCGCAAGGTGTATGAAATTGTGATGGGTAGGCTTCATAAAGCTTAAAGGCTCATTTAACCAAATAACCCCTCCCTGCTTTATATCCAGACAAGTGGTTGATACCTTCTAGATTATCTGCAAAGAGATGAAAACTGAGCTTACACAAACTGAGTGAATGTCTTCACTAACTAGGTTCTGAGATGAAAAGTCAGAATCTCTTACACTTTATGACTGCTTTCAGACTATTTTTACTTGCTCCTCCCATATACAGTTTGATTGGCTATTTATTTGATCCCTTTTTAATGGTATGTTGTATTTAGGTACTGTGGTGTGTGCACAAGAAGCTGAAAGAGCGTGTAAACACAAGGGGCTACCTTTCTATTACTTCACCAAATGAATAATAGAGCCCACATGATTTCCAGTTGTTTATGGGCAAGTTTCTCTTGACAAATCTAGCCCCTTTCTAAAAATTCCCAACTAGAAGTTATCCAGAAGGTCTTTTCCTGAGCAGTCTGAGGCTAGTAGCCCCAGATTAGTATGAGAACTTAAATGGCAACTGCACAGAAGACTAAATTTGTTGGACTTTGCAGCTCGTGCTTATGCTTAAAGATGATTGTTCTTGAACCCTTACATTGGGCTTGCAAATCTAAGGTATAGCCCAATGTATATTTTTATAACTATTTTCTCATCTACTATATGAGCTTTTAATAATAGCTTAAGCCAAAAAAGGACAAGAAGAAAAATTCATAGCAAGATGTTTACAAGGTGTATGCCCTTAAAATAGCTTCTGCTCCTCCTTTTTAAAGTCTCAGTGCTTAGTATAGTCATACCAAACTCTGTTCTTTAGGTGCATGCTGAAGTAACCATCGCTTTCATTTACTCTGCCTACTGTGGCATGGGGCACGCTTTTTGGGAAAAAACTGATTAACTCATCCTTTATACTCTTGTGTACATGGCGACTTGTTTAAATCTAATTTGTCTTTGCCTTAAAAATAAGATGCTTATGAGAATGAAGATTTAAGAATGTCAAGTTTGCTTACACAGATATGCTAATGGACCATAACCTTGATTTGCATCTTCCTTTGTTTGAGGTATTTTGTAACCAGCCTTCAATTTGCACGGAGTCTCTTAGTTGCCTCCCGGCTCCTAACTTGAGGAGGCGGCTGGCCAGTTGCAAGAGTTGGCCATTATATGGCCCTGCCCCTTGCCGCTGACTGGTTGCAAGCTGTCTACCATGTGGCCCTGCCCCTTACTGCCCATTGGTGGAGAGGAGCGGGGCCACACAACAGGTAGCCCTCTCAGCCAATCAGCGGTAAGGGGTGGGGCCATCAGTCACCTTGCTGTCAGCCCTTCAGGACGGCAGCCCCTCCTCCCCCCACTGGTGGTCTGAGCAGTCAGGCCACAGCACCACGAAGACTGCTGGCTCCTTTATTTTCAGTAAGTTTTTGCAGCCAGTCTGCCACTTGTTCATAGAGCCTTTCATTTTTCCCAGAGCCCAGCCAAATTCATGGTTTCCATGAAAATTGTGCAATCATGAATTTGGTACATCCATACTCATGGCGCATAAATATTTAGTTAGGCCTAGGATAAATACATAAAACACATTTGCATGTGTGACTTAAAACCACAGAAGTCCAGCTAATACATCAGCCTTTACACCCTGCTTTTATAAAGGCTATTATTTTAGAAGAAGCTTTCCAAATGAAAAAGGATGTTAAGGACGGGAAGGCTTGGAGATGGGCAAAAAGCAAATGTATAGCTGGGTGGTAACAACTCTATTAGAGCAGTAAAAGTAGGAGATGATGCATCTTCTAAATAAAAATGGAATAAACTGGAGAGAGAACATCCATACAACAATAAATCTACTGTTTGGATGTTACGGTTTGGATGTGTAATGATTCCCTATAATCCTTGCTTTCATTATTTGATGCTCTTGTCATCCAGCTTTATAACTTTTCTTGAAAATCCCCCTCAGATAATCCTACCTTTGGCAAATACCCAGCCTGAGAGTTGCATACATTTTTTTCCATCTCTTTCAACATAACTGGTAAATTCTGCAGTGGCAACTGTCCCTGGATGCCCATGCCTCACCCACACTGCTCTGAGTCGGTCCATGTGGTGCGGGTCCAGGCAATCCACTGCTATAGCAGCAAGATGCACAGGGCCTTGCTGCTGTGGCAGAATGGCCCCCGTGACCACATCCCTCCAAGTTGGTGCAAAGGAGTGCAAGGGGCAGGGGCTATTCTGCAGTCAGAACGGGGAAGGAAAATATCCCTCCCTACCCATCCTGCCAATCAGCTGATTAGCAGGATGGGAAGGGTTGTCTGTGTCCACTGCTGCTTTTTGGCAGCTACTAACTGCTGATTGACAGCCTGCTCCAGCACTAGGCAGACAAGGGAGCAAGCTGCGAATTAATGGGATCCCTGAAAGGTGGGGTGGTCCCAGGAAAAGCCCCACAGTGAAGCTCTCCAGCCATCAGGCCGGAATACACACACTCCTGAATTTCTCTCAAAATCTTACTGGTAGAAATGAGCTCCTGTCTGTGACCCAAGATCCTGGTTGAAAACAAAGAAAAAAAGTGTATATAGAGAATAACTCTTTTGCCTCAGTACAGGAGACCTAATAAAATATGGGTCAGAGGCAGTCGGTTTACTAGCCAGTGATGCATTATCTATGCTTTCTTTTCTGTCATCTGTCTAAACACCATTTTGAAGGAAGAGAAATAGGGTGGAACTGAAAATGCAAGACATGATTTTTAGACGTGGGGAAAAAGCAGCTGGGTGGCTTAGTAAACAAAGCACAAAACTTTGATCTATGATGCTTTTGATCCCACATGAAATTAGCTTAATGACCACACGCTAGTAGTGCGCATGCTGGAAAAACAGCCTTGCAGTAGTCAAGCATCTGTTTTGGCACAACCCCAGACCTAAGGCAGTCTGAGATGCATGTAGTGAATTGTATCTTGTCCAGAAATCACTCAAGGTCAAGACTGTGCTAGACAGCTTATGAATGACTGTCAAGTGTTTGGAAATAAATGTAATCTCATATAAAGTTGATTTCTTGTGTTCAGAGTCACAATGATCCCAGAATGATCTGGCCAACTCCCTTTTAATAGCTAGCAAGAATCTACACTGAGACAGGAGTTTCCCACTAAAAACCAAGTTCCAATTCTGGCTATGGAGACAGATGTTTGTAGCTGAAGAAGAAGAATTCAAGGGTACTTTAATTCAGATTTCACCTCCCAGAAGTGACTGGAGTGTCTAAATGGAAGGAAAAGATTGCCCTTTTCTGGCAGCTGAATGCCACCATTGCCAAAAACCACATCAGCTCTTAACTGTTAGAGAGCTTTATTTTAATACCCTGGTTCTGTGTGGGCAAAACAAATAGGCCCAGATAAGGCCTCTTTTGTTTTACTTGTTACTAATGCACCAGTAATATATAAACTGTTTCATAGTTTCTAGGGTTGGAAGGGACCTGAGTAGATCATCTAGTCCGATCAGTCACTGCTGATACTATGATCCCTTAATAGGAAGGGATTGTGGATGCTAGGAACAATTTTTTGAGGCTGTTGATTTCCCTAGGGGGTAATGGCTGAGCAATGTTGATTACCTGAATTTCAAGGCTGCATGTCCAGCTAAATTTTTTCCTCCAGTATCGAGCATGCATGATTCCTGAGCAGGAATATTGTTTCCCGCTTTAAACTGCTGACCTACTATACAGCCTCCCACTTCCATCTGTAACTTTCTTTTGCTCAATTGGTAAATTAGATGGAGATCAAGCCACTGCCATAGTTCTGGTGTGGGTTTTTTTTCCAGCCATCCTTCTGGCAGAAGAATCCTACCTTTACAGTGGGCTGCAAAGGTGCTAGTGAAGTATGGTTATCCTCCCTCATTGCACTCCACTTGCTTTTTGGATGGCTGTAGTCCTCATAGTCTGTCCAATTCCAGGCAAGCCTACTCCTGGCATTGTTGCCTTGCTTGTCAAGAATATCTGGCGGAGGCTGCCTAAAAATTTAAAGAGAGAACACAATCAGCTCCAAAAAGCTTAGTTTACTCCCGGTGACCCATTTAGAATAGCATGGGAATCTTTGTATAAGATTTTAATACGAAAGGGCTATTGCGTCCAAAGACTTGACTAGGTATTTCTTTCTATTGATACTTATATTCTCGTTCCCAAGATAAAAAAGGAATGGATACAAGTCTAAATCTGTCAGTCTGCCATAATAGAAGGCATAGTTGAAAAGTCCTAATGCTTAAACCTAGATTTCCTCTTGCATGTAATTGTGCATATTAGGCCTGCTAGGGTCTGGTGCTTTCATACAGGACTCAAGTTAGATACCCCAGTTTGCCAAGTTGAAACACCATGCTCTAGCCAGAAGCGTGTAGTATCTTGTACTATTCAATGGTGGTAAACGCTTCTATACAAGATGAGCCAACTATGTAATACCTTATTTACTAACATACTACACATCCTCCACCGAAAATTAGCCTTCCAAAATTGGGGAGCATGTTTTAAATAGGGCAGTTGATGTGCTGCCCAGAATAGCAGCAGTAGCATTTCTATTCAGGCAGCACCAATGGAGTCAATTGACTTCATGACCCATCAGAATCCACTTCATTAGTCACCAACCAGTCGATCACAGTAGACTGGCTGATCATGGAGCCTCTGACAGTCTATCTCAGTCTGGGGGAGCTGTGTGTGTGCATGTGCTCAGCCCCCGGCCCCAGACTGAGATCGAGCCTGGGCAGTATGCAAGCTTGGTACCGATCAGAGCCCGGGAGGCTCCCACTGCTGCATGCACCCCAGCAGAGGCCCAGGGGGCACATGCCCTCCCAATCTACGTGGGGCGGAGGTGGCTGTGGCTGTGCCCTGAGCTGTGTCCAAGCCCTTCAGCTACCCCGGGAGCACCACGATGCCATGTGCGTCCCACTACTGGACGGGCAGGGGATATGGCTCAGCCCAGCGGTGGGACACATGGCGTTGCGGCACTCCCAGGACAGCTGCAGCAGGGCTCGGGGCGCAAAGCCCAGTACGCAGAGGCAGCCACCTCCCCCCACAAAGATCAGGGTGGGGGGCATGTGCCCATCAGGCCTCCA